GTGTGTGTGTGTGTGTGTGTGTGTGTGTGTGTGTATGTGTATATATATATTATTTTCATTATTCTTATTGTTGTTGCTGCATATTCATTTATTTGAATAGTTGAAATTGTATCTATTGAGAGTGTTGTTGCATAGCTAATATTCTGAACTATGTATATACAATGTGTATTCCCTGGTTGACAAGTCCAAAACTCTCGAAAAAGCATAACTCGTTTCATTCAATGTGTTCCTACAGTTCCTATGCTACCATTCTCGTGCACTACAACACAATACCATCATACAAATTACCAAACCAGCCTTTATCACAATTCAAATCTTTGTCATACCTTAAAGTTTCTGGTACTGATGCACAAATGCTGTAGTCGGATTTGTTGGGCTATTCAGGTATCCCCTTTTAGAGTTTCTGTTGTGCAAGTCAAATAACTTTCCAATGAATCTATACCGAACCCTAACAATTAAATCGATATCCTTTTTAGCACAGTTTATAGTTCAGTCTCTATACTATACATACAGCCGTACAATGATACCACAGTCAATCATATCAAAATAGAGCCATGTCCTATACGTCCTATACGTCTATATGTTTTATAAAAATCGCATACACGTGTCGATAAAGAAAGCCCGCCTCGCCCATTCGAACATATTTGGTATGTGTTGTCATCAGAGCTTTTCTGCCAGTATTGTTGGCTTGCGTTGAGTAAATACCACCCCAGGGACCAGGGCACCAGGCCAAGGCCCCAGGGGCCACGGCCCAGCCAGAAAATAGAACACTCGATTCCTTTCGATTCCTAATTTTGGGGCAAATCTGTCCAAATTTAGTGTTTATTACATCACGTCACGATTATTTTGGATCGAAACACATTTTTGTGTAAACAATGGCTGGTTTTATTGTTTTGTTTTGTTTTGTTTTTTTGTTTTTTAAAAACAAGAACCAAAAAAAGATAAAATATTTTTTTTTAAATATTTAGGTTCTTGTAAAACGAAACTCTATAATATTTTTAAAAAACAAAATATTTACGATTTTTAGAAAATTTGTTCAACGTATTTATTTTTATTAGCCGTGGGTGGACCTGCACCTCCACGAAGCCTTTGTGGCGCGTCTCGTTCCCAACATTCAGGCTGCGTGTGCTTGCCATAAGACCATTGTACACTTGTCATCCTGTAGACTACGATGTCCTTACTACACTCACTGGTGTGTATGGTCAAGAGACATTCATAGACACTCCGTGCCAGTTACCAATTGACTTTGCCCGCATTTCACCCTCGTCCCTGCTTTGTAAAGCGGTTACCCTACTCCACAGTCTGCTGAGTTTTAGGGAGTGGTCTGAAGCGGGGAGCTCTCATATTACAACCACCAACGGTTTTCGTTGCGGGGGCAACTGAGTCCAATCAGGGTTATGTGTGGCGCGTAGACTGTATGCAGCAGCTAGGAAAGAGCGAAGTGTCATTTAGGTATAGAGCCCGGCAGTACTCGGAGACTACTAACGAGTTCCATAGTGATCCAGCCGTAACTCTAGCCGAGTTTGGCCCTAGTTCGTACATCGCCGGAACAGCATGTTAGATTTAAAAATAAACTTACTTAATAAAAAGGGGAAGGGATATAGCCTGCTATTAGAGTACGTAGCAGGGGATTCCATCATCAACAGAACGTAAGGAGGCTACAAAGGACCTTTACTTCCTTAGTCGAAAAATCCTCGGTTCGGGCATTTTCGTTCCCACAGAGCTTCAGTGCCTTTTTGAGATCGTAGAGTCCGTATGCAAACTCCGTGGTGTGTATCCACTCTATTAGCGATGAAATAAAGCGGTACGCGTCGCTCAAGTGTTGGTTTCGGACTGTGAATACGTACTCTCGCCGAAATCGCCAATTACCGCCATATCCCGTCCGCCACGATTGATCACTAACACATTGGCAGCGTGTAAGTCGCCATGGTAGACTCCACGATTCGCCATTTCCTCGATAGAGTAAAAAACGTCAATAATGAGCACACGCAGTTGATCGTAGTCAATCGAGCCCCAGCGCAGAATTTGTGTAAGGTCACCTATCGCTAACTCCATCGCCAAAATTAAATAATTGTGCGATTCCGATGTGCACTCTGGTGTATCGTAGTACTGTAAGACGTAATCTGGGATTCGGTCGGTGAGTTCATAGCGAACCCCTCCAACATGGCCTTGTTCATGTTGGGCTCAAACTTTACGGCAACGGGAAAGCCGGCAACCTCAGTCTTGTAGACTACGGCCGACATACTGGGGGACCCAATTCGTGCGCTTAGTGAAAGGTAGAGTGTACTGTCGAGCGCTGCGCGCAGTTTTGCGAGCTGTGCGTCATCGAGACCGTGGAACCGTGGCTGCAGTTCGCGTTCCCACGGGAAACTTAAAAGTGACGTCTTCATTCTTGTCACCAAAAAATACGTTATTTGTTCGGATATTTATACCAATATTATTGTATGGTTTGCAGCGCCGCAAACAGCACCACGTTACAAGAGCGCCGACCTTGTTGACACAATTGAAAAATCGGCAGACTCCAGATTGATCAATAGACCTCAGAACATCGATTTTAAAAAGTACTGATTCATGAGACTACCATATTCCAGAATATGGCCCTATTTGCCACATACCCTATTTAAATACCCACATATAAAGTCATAACGTACACGCAATGAAACTGAAAACGTAATGTTTTACGTTAACGCAATGAATCATGGAAGTTTAAAAAAAAATTGCTTCCAAAACGACAATTTTGTACAAAACTTTTTTTCTTCAACATTTGTTCCAAATAGATCAACAAATGACAAATATGCGTTGGACCGGATCCAAAACTGCAAAAGTTCATTTTATATATCATAAATATCAAGTAGCCGCCCATATTTTGGCAGATAGAGTTGGGTGGCATATGCCAATATATTGGCGGGCTCCATCACCAAGGTCTTATAACTTACGAAAACGTGTCCCGTTTACCGCTAACGCAATGTTTTTAAAACGTGTTTACGCTTAACGTAATGAAACGTGCCTACCCATCGGGAACCTGACCCCACGGGCCCACACTCCACTTCCACAGAGGTGTTCACGTTGAGTGACTGTTTCGTGTTCAACCCATCCTAAACTCTATTTAAAAAAAAGGGGGGGGGACTTTCTATTGTATGATTCAATGGGTTATGTTTCTATTGCATTCGAAAATAGATTATAATACCACACAACCAGGGCTCACCAGGACAATAAAACCGGACAGGTGAAAAGGTTTAATACCAGTTTCAGTCTTCCCTAAAAATATAAGGCACTTCAAGAGTACGGATTTTATTTTTATTGTGTGTATGAATGTTACGATTATGTATAAACAGACTTCAGAGTACGTATATACATATTTATAAAATAAAGGAACACATCATCCACTGAATATGATAATATGATTTTTTTTACTACTCTTTTTATATATATTTATTATATTTATATATACAACTTGGCTTCCCTGGCCGCTCATACAAGCATGAACGCAGAGAAAGGCAACAAAATAACATCATATTTAGCAAATATACTTTCAACCAAACCAGAGCGTGCTTTGGCGCATAACCCCTATTAATATTCTGACCGACAATATTAGTTTTGATTATATGCATCGCATTGTGAAAACCAAAGCCCATAGCTATTTCATCCACGATAAACTTAAGCCATTTAGAAATATACTACACAGTACACACACTATGAAGAGAGCTGTACGAAACTCCAAGAATCAAACCGGGCCTCATGTGGGTATACGCAGAGCCAAGACCGAGCCCAGGGGTGTGCTCATCAACTCTAACGACTTAACCGTATGTGTGATCGATGTAATTACATCGAGCAATGTACTTTAACTGTGAATATGCTTTCAACCCTTTTTGAATTGGCTCTGAGTGCAATCATTGCCAACGTAACCGTCACTCTGCCATGTTGATTTATGGGTGCCTGTAAATTTGAGCTAAACCTGTGCTTGATTACATTTGCAATGTTTTCGGCGCGGCGCGGATATATGAAGCATTTGATATTCTGCTGGTACACATGGAACTCGTACAGTGGGACGAAATTTTAGTTGTATTTTGTGCTTCGATTTTATATGGTGTCTTGGGGGCATGTTGGTATACTAATTGGGGATCAATATTACAACAAACTTGCTATTGATGACATGCATTTTTTAAATCGTGCCTGTTTACTAGCAGTATTGTTGTGCACATT